CCTTCTCTCTTTCTCTGTCTGTCTGTCTGTCTGTCTGTCTGTCTGTCTGACTGTCTGTAAGTCTGTCTGTTTGTCTGTCTGTCTGATTCTCACTCTGTTCTCTCTCACTTTCTCCTTGTTTGGGTACGTGAATGAATGAGTGAGTGAGAAACAGAGACACAGGGAGAGAGAGACACAGGCAGAGAGAGAGAGAGAGAGAGAGAGAGAGAGAGAGAGAGAGAGAGAGAGAGAGAGAGAGAGAGAGAGAGAGTTGCAGTAATCCGTGTGGGGATCACAAAAGAAGAACACAGTCGTTTTCAATGAGCATTCACTCAAGAGTGCAGACAAGTGCCAAATTCTGCACAGCTCACAGCACAGCACGCAGCAAACATGAGAAATGAGATGGTCCATATTATATAACTCTGGGTAAAAAGGCAGCCCCAGATGTTTTGCTATGTGAGTGAAATGTATCCTTTTATTCTTTATACTTGTGCGCTCATACTCAACAGATATTTAAGATTTGAACCAATTGAATAATGTGTGGAAATCCCGACAGTTGTCAACAATCGCTCGATAAGGAAGGAATGATCGATTGTATTAAAAGTTGCACTTCGGTCAGGAACAATGAAAGAGGAATTTTTGCCATTGTCAGCCACACACAATAAAGCATTGTACACCATATCCATTTTCAACATAGCTGTCCCAGTATTATGAAACTGCCCATAAAATGTTGACCGACTTAATTCATGTGAATTGTTCTGTTACGAATGGCCTTTTAATATATGTTGACTGATTTAATTCATGTAAATCGTTCTGATACGAACGGCCTTTCAATTGAATCAAAACAGCTTCTTCTAGGACTTTTGCCTACCTTGAACTTATTAACACATCCCTGTTCTCCATCCTTCCTATTAAAAAACTATATTTCTCCCTTTCTTTATGCTCTGAGGCACTTTACACATGTTTTTGTTTTTTTTTTGCACTTAAAGTACTTCATTATGAATAATTTAGCATGAAATAGCACTCGGCTCGCCGACAACGACATGTCGATTATTCCCTTTATACCTGCTTTCATCGTCAAGAACCGTTAAGCTGCCTAGTGTTTTTCGTGATGTTTATTTTTAGGTAACATCTTAAGAGTTCTTTAGAAGTACTTACGGAGAGAAAAACCCGTATAAAATTATTCTGAGTATGAAATATTGGGGAAATAATAATTGTTTATAATTTATAGTAAGGAAGCAGAGCAGGTAGGTAATGTCTTAAGTACACTCAGCGGTGCCC